GATGGAGGATGGCAAAACATCTAGATAAATCGTGTATAGAAAAATATGTTTAAGAGCACAAACTTCTTCTCCCTCCATTAATGTTAACAATGGCAATTAGACAAAGAAAACTCTCACTAAGAGTAGGGTCCATTTTTTATTGCTTACGAGCTAAAAGTAACGAAGGCACTCACTTATCTCTCTCCCTACTTTATCATTTGAGTTGCAAATAGGACATGTATACTAATTGAATAAAATGGAAACTCTATAGTGGGTCGCTATCATTATAGTTTTTTTTAAGTTTCTAAGAAAAAATTTACTTTATTAAAAATCCTATTAATTCAGAGATTATTTTCTGCGATCTCTTCTGGTTCCGTTATATGAAGCAGAATATTAATTTCGCCGTATAAATGTTTAACTATACATTCTCCCGATGCCCCTCTTAGTTCGGCAAAATAGAACGGTACGATATGTTAAATTTTGTAACAGAATAAATTTAAATAATCGTGAAATCACAAAATTCAGAATTAACTAGGAATAAAGTATGAGAGAAGCTAACCAAACGATTTAAAATACTCATAGAAATCGATTCGAATTATTATTAAAAATAACAATGAGCGTAGAACTACAGGCAGAAATGAGTGCTGATCTTAATAAAAATGCATAATGGAGGCTGATGACTACTAAGAACAACAAAGTCTCACCCTTTTCTGATTAAATCCCAACTTCAAGCCTAGTTCGTCGCTTGTAAAAGAAATGTCTAACACACGATCGCTTGTCCTCAACCATGAAACGCCTATGCGCATGATAATTTAAAAAAATCTGAGACAAAAGAACCACCGCACAAAAAGCCGAATATTAGTTCCTTAAATGCTAAGAGGCCCCAATACTTAAGAGTTGAATGGGCTTCGGCAGGATCATTATCAGTGGGCTAGCCGAGTTATCAGGAAGGCCACTGAGTGACACATCTATTAAGACGGAAAATCATGACCTATTTCAATACTTAATGTCAGACGAACTGCAACCACAAAAAGTTAATCAGCTTACCGCCTCCAGTATACTGCGTACCGTGCCAATTTCACAATTTCCTCTTGTTGTTGAAAATTTGAAGTGATTAAAAGGGCATGGCACTCGGTGGCGCTCTCTAGAGAAAGGATCCGAACTAAAGGTATAGAGAGGAAAGAAATAAGACCATGAGAATATAAAGTAGAAAACACGAAGGCCAAAGATAAATTCAGAAGTTTTATGCTATGAAAGTAATACTAGTTCAAGTTTATGTTATAACTCAAACTCTCATAATCAAAGTAGATTCCTGAATCTTGCTACTTGCATAACCATAAAAAATAGCTACTGGGTACTTAAATACGAAACCAGGCAATCGAACAATGCATTTACATTACTTACTATTTGACAAGAGCTCTTTGGGAGCACCACCATAAGATTCAACTCCCTTTGTCTGAAATACATAAAGCACATGGTTATTAATAAGCATATGAATACTAGTATGATAGTAAAAAATTAAAATAGTACTTAAATGCGATGCAAGAATGTTCTAAGCAGATCAGTTAAGCTTAACTAAGGAAGAAATATAAAAACAGAAGCGAAAGTATATTTGATCAAGATATAGTCCGAATTAGCACTCCAATTAAGGTGAAGATTTGATTAGTATAAACAAAATAACAAATAATTAACTGAGATTTATTGAACAACCCAGCCGTTGAAGTAAGCTATTAGACCCGGATTGCATCAAAACAAATTAAGATAACTTAAAATTGGAATATAAGATAAAAGGACTAAGGTATTTTTACTATCCAATAAATATGAGATAGCTAAGGTGATGACCAAAGCACCTCTATATCAAATATGCTTGAAATTGACTATGGGCATCTATAATTAACATAGTAGCAATGCCGTCAAAAAAGTAATAAAGCCTTATTTAATGAGCAATAAATGAAATATATCATTCAAAACGTTGTTGAATTATGTATTCAGGCTTCAGAAGAGGCCTTAGTAATTAAACATACCTAAATCATATATGACTTTTAAAAATGTCTGAATAGGTCAAAATAAAATAAATTTAAGGAGCATTTTATTAGAAATGTTATTTTATTCAAGAAGAAATGCAGCTTCAGGCTTAGTTTGCGTACTACAAGTAGTTAAACTGTTTATTAAAGAAAAATACAGGGCAATATTAGGGACATTTGTTTGACCTTGTTTTTGCAACTTTGTCATATTGGTAGGAAGACCTAAAGGAATGCACCTAGTCCGGAGTCCAAATTAGGCAGGATAATTTCCAGAATCGCATCGTGGAGATGGTACATTCCCAGGCGTTTCCCTGGCAACGTCAGTGAGCTTTACTATTCCTAGAACCACAGTACAACTGGTTAAAGAGACAAATAAAGCCGGTGGTTTGAGCAATTGTCTGCTAAGCAATTGTGGTATCTCTCCTCCTGCCCTGGGTTATCTCCAAGCCCATATCCTCGTATCATCTCTTCACTATCACAAAGTCTTATTTAAATGTGGCATTGTGTGCCCTTTTTTAGCGGCCTTCATGAGAACTCTCCAAACTGCTCGTTGGCTTTCTAACCCCCTTACACCGCAATCCTCTTCCCTTAGGTTTTATCAGTCTCCCTGTTACTCCGTAGGATCTGCCTCTTACCTTACTGATTCAGATATTTCACTCGACCCCTGCCACCCTATATGTACTACTCCAAGCGTTATTTCCCACACTATCTAAAGTCTTTGTTGCACGCATACTTCCGTCTCGCGGAGTAGGCTCCTAAAAACCAGGATTCTTAAGCTGGATGGGAGGCAAACTTGAGGCTAAAGAGCCTGATTAAGTCTCATGACCAAGTCTTTGCTCCATGGACCACGTCTACTTTTAGTAAACTAGCTCTAGTCTCCGACGCATCTATCATGCTTCTAAGCATAGTTCTAAGTCTATGACTTCCTATGCCCTAATCTCTTGTGCAGTGACCCATAAACGTTGTGGTTCTACCTGATTTGATTAGGATCACTGTAGAACCACAACATTCGGAACAAAATAGACTAGGCCATAGTAATTCATAGACTTGGCATTAAGGATAGAAACAGGATAGATGCAGTGAAGACTAGAGCTAGTTGGCTAACAGCAGACGTGTTCCATGAAGCAAAGTCTTGACTATTAAAATTACTCGAGCCCTTTAGCCTCAAGTCAATCAACCATCCAGCTTGAGAATTCTGATTTTTAGGGGCTTACTCTGCAAGGCGGGAGTGTGCGTGCCATCAAATGCTTGAGACAGTAGTAGCAGTACAGATAGGGTGGCCAGAGTCAAGTGAAATAGCTGAATCAGGAAGGTAGGAGGCAGATCCTACGGGGCAATATGGAGATTCTGATAAGATCTATGGGAAGAGGATAGCTGGGTGAAGAGATGAGAAAGCTAGCGTATGGTGTGGAGAGTTCTCATGAAAGCCACTAAAAAAGGGCATACCATACCACATTTAAATAGGAAATTGTGATTTTTACAAAATTAAAATATGCATAGTAGCATATTGGAACGAAATTATCAAGGCGTAAACATTTTAACATATAAGGTATGGGTTCAGATTTTGCTAAAATAAATAATGAGAAAATAAACCGAAATATGGTTTATCCTAATTCAAAAGGTAATCCTAGAGGGATTCAGTAAAGCTCATAGAAAAATAAATCAAGTTGGACTTTTTATGGATAGTGAAAAGATTTGACAAATGTCATAACTGTGTAAACCCTTTGTCTGGTTGTATACGAGACTATTTAACGACTAAAATGACACAAATACCAAAGAGTTACGCGCAAAATAAGTAATGCATCATAAAAGGTATTTTAATAATGTTTAAAACTGAAATAACGACAAAATAAAAGAATTACATAATTCATTATTAGTGAGAAAAGTGAAAAGATTTGACATAAAAAGGAAATGACGCAGCTAAGTTTCACAGCAAATTATCACCCGAAAAATAATTTTACAGCGGAACTGCTTAAATACTAATTCGAAGATTCAAAATAATTTATTATACTGTATAGTAACTTGAATAAAACAATAAACTTAAATGAGAAAGATCAAATAGATAGAAATTCAACATACCAAGCAAAACTCTGAGCGTATTATCTCAATCTCCCAAGGAGAAGTATTGGCTAGTGTGATATGAACGAGAAATTCTTGACCAATGATAAGAGTCTTTATTGGGACTTGCTGAAATTAAAGGTAAAATAATGAAATAAAAAATTGTGGAGGGGCGAACAAAATTTGACATGACTTTTCATTTCGAGGTAAAGGTTGGTAGGAAAGAATTCGTGATGTGGTCCCACCGAAAACCGAAGGATTGCAGCGTAGGGAAGACTGTGCGATCCCTATGCGGCGATCCTCCCTCGATTTCCGGTGAGACCACATCACGAATACCTTCCAACCAACTTGTCCTTCGGAATGGAAGGTCCTTACACAATATATCACTAAGGAATTTTTGAAAACCTAGTTTTTCTTCATAAAATCACTAAATGACATAGAACTATCGTAATAGTAAATAAAATGATAAATGAAAAACCTGGGGGTTATAAGAGTTCATGTAATTACATTTTCCTTTTTGCGACTCAAGTGTGTTGTGCAACCTATATTCAAAAAATTGGAATCACCCAAAAGAAGTGAGAGAAATTACATTGTTCCGTTAACAGAAAATTCATTTCTTTAATTGTTATGGGTTTACATTCTCTGCGTGATACAAATGATGAACACGACTAAAATAGATGGCTTATCAGAAATGGCTGCAAATATAAGTAAGTTCAGAAAAGCAAGTTGAAAAATTCAACAAAAATAATTAACAAGAGCAAAAATGATGCTTAAAATTATAAAAGTTGAATTATGAAGGATCGGTTTTCAACTAAATAGACAAATAAAAGGAAAAAGCGAAAAGAAAAAAATAAGAGCAAAGTGGATCTTAAACTGACGCGCATAGATAAAATCTTCCAGACGAATTCAAAAGGCATCTGTCCCGTGAGCTGAGTTTCCATCATCTTGGTGCATTGACAAGTGAATCGGTGGTCAGTCTCGGTAAGTCCACTGGCCAACTCCATATCTAATATGCGAATACGAGCCAAATCTTCTGGGTCTATTGATAATAAGGCTGCACTTGTTGCCGCGCTGCTGATCGGTCCAGCAGACGCTGAAGAACAACGTACTTCGTGCTCGAGAGAAGATAACGACAGTTTTTTGTAGTCGCAATCGGCTACTTCTATAGTGTAAACAACTTGAGCAAGAAGACGACGAGTGTGGCCAGCTACCATAGGTTGAAAACGGTTTGTTGCCACATCAGATTCGCCAGACGGTCCAGCAGTGATTGACGAAACATCGAATGCCCACGAATCGCTAAAACGTATATAGGCATATCGAACCGCCTGCTCACCAGGCGCTAAGTCAGGCAACTCAGCGACTACACAGGAACTAAACGTAGGACCCGTGTGAACTATAGGAGGAGTGTCAGTCGTGGTAAGATTGCCAGATTCTTCAAGACAAGGCTCACAGACCGACCTAGTGCACTCAGTGCTCCAGGTGGAAGGATCCAGGGTGATCTGCCAAGTTGGTGGATCAGCTGAATCAACTGGACGACTGCGAACCTGCTGGCCTGATGAAACTACTCCCTGGCTGACTTCTTCGAGCCAAAGAGTAAGCCTAAGTATGCCAAATAAAAGAGCAATACGCAAATAATAGCATAAGTGAGAAAGGAAATGGTGCCCAGAAAAAGAGAGAGGAAACACAATCTCCAAAAGGCAAATCGAAAATTGTAATGGAAAATAGTTAGTCACTCTATTTATCAAAATAAATAATGAAAATAGGTAGAACAAGGAAAAGGTTTTAGCCAACTCGTTCCAGGCTAAAATAGGCCATGCTGATAGGGTGATTAAGAACCATATAGC